TGCTCTCTCTCCCTTGATCACACTCTCTTTCCTCTCACACTCTCTATCTGCCCCCCTCAATTACTCCCTCCCCTCCCTCCTCCTCTCTCTCACACACACTCTCCCCCGTCTCCCTTCTCCCTCTTTGCTAAGGTTGCAGTTGGAAAGAGATGCCCTTGCCCTCCTGATACACTTCAGTAACGGCCAGTATTATTTTCACTCTCTGCGCTGCATCCTCCCAACCACTGGCTTCTGCCCCTGCCCCTGCCCTCACCAGGGAGGGAGGGAGCTGAAGTTGGAATGTTGGAAATGATCTTGGGCTGGATAAAATCACCCGCCGGCCCAGATGTGGCACGTGGGCTGCGAGTTGGACCATGTTGTTTTATCTGGTTTTGTGTAGAGAGGGAGATTTGTAAGCTGTGCACGTCACTTCTTCACAAGGCTCGGGATTTGAATCCTGATGGGTCATTTGCACTTCCAAGGTCTTTAAGTACCTTGTCAAAAATATCCTGCTGGGGGTTAAGAAAGAGAAGGGAAAATGGTCTGCCTGGAACTGATCTGGCTCCAATGATACACAACTGGCAAAGTCAGAATGTCTCCCAATAATCCAAAGCAGACACAGCAGCACAGACATGTTTTCCATCCTGTGAGGAAAAGGCCTGTTTTTAGAGTTAACTAGATAGTGAGGAACTTTTTTTGACTCTCTCTATCTCCAGGTGTCTCTGTAAAGACTGCCTTCCTCTGTTACTGATATTACAAAGAATGTGTAGCACAGCAACAGGCCATTTGGCCAAGGCAGTCCATGTCAGTGTTTATTCTTCACATGAATCTCCATTCATTCCATACGCTCTCCCATAACATTCTATTGCCCTCTCCCTCTTGTGAAGGTCTAGCTTCCTCTTGAATGCATCTATCTATACAAATTGATTCAACCAGTGCTTCAGGTAGTGATTTCCATTATCTCACTACCCTCTTGTCAAGTTCTCTTGTTGGTGTTAACCTTATCCAACCCTTTTATGATTTTAAACTCCTATTAATTAGACACTTTTAGGCACTAAGCATGTCTAGTGAAAAAAACCTAACCTATCCATTCTGTACTGTTGACACGAGGCTGTTCATGCTCCCATTACTACTACAGAATAGATTTAACTTGATTCCACAGCGGGATTTTTCTTGAATTAATGTACACAATGTCACAACATCTACCAGTTCGAGACTGTGACCAATCTATATCAGATCAACGCGATTTGCACACATTTAGATCTTAAATAATATTAATCCTCGCATTTGATTATCGGGCCTTACTATGACATTAAGTGTCTTCAAGTGATTTACAGAAATTACTAGAATCTTTAGTGACTGTATATTTCTAGGCACACATGACAGCCAATTTGTGCACAGCAGTGTACAAAAAACAGCTATGAAGTAATAACCAATTTTGTCTGGGGGACGACTAGCCAGGATACCAGGGGAAACTCCCTCGTTTTTCGAATTGTGCCATGGGGCTTTTAGCAGCCACCTAACAAGTAGATATAATATCTCATCTGAACAACACCTCTGACAATGCAGTGCTCACCTAGCAATGCTTTGGAATGTCAGGCTAGATAGACTGTGAGGTTGAATCAAATCAAACTGGGTTGAAATTATGGTAGCATTTTAGATGTTCTGATGTTACTGTAATATTAATCCAATGTTATATTTGACACAAGTAGAGTGGAATATTTATCTTGTGGACTTTCAGAAAATACAAACATTTGTCATTGCATGAGCATTAATTCTTTAAAAGGTTTGTATATGAATAGAATATTCCTTGTGTTTGATATAGCACCTATATTGTGAAACATCCCACAGTGCTTCCCAACCCATTCGCACACAATGTCCCACAAACAGCTGTGAAGTGAATCATCAATTTATCTCATGATTTATTGACCAGAACATCTGGTGAAAATCCCTTCGGTGTTTAAATAGTGTCATGAGAGCTTTAACGTATACCTGAACAAACAGATAGGGCCTGGTTTTAATGTATCATCCAAGGATGACACCTCCAATATTGCAGCACTCCCCCAACACTGCAGTGTCAGACTAAGTAGCCTGTCACCATAAGTCCCAATATGGGGTTGCTTGTGAAGTCAACGTGTTGATTATTTATACTGCAACTATGACTGCAGTGGATATAGCTCTCAGTATTGTAAATAGTAGCTGCACAATAAGAACATTTGCCAAAGAAAATAATTGCTGTGATTATATGTTCCAGGAAGTTTTTCACTCATCAACTTTCTTGCCTCAAGGCATTTGACTCCTTGTTCCTACTACAAGGTTACAGTTCTAAGGTTGTCAGTTCCTCTCCACAACCACACCCAAGTGGCCATGTGTGAACCCTTGACAGTGAGTGTTAGAAGGTTATTGAACCACAGGAAATGTTTTAGGTCCTGTCCTCAGCTAATGTTTACACATGCATGTAGGTACCTCAAGGAAGTCATAATGTGTCATAATCAGGGCCTTTTTTGTACTGCGGAACCTGGAAGCTGGGGTCAATAGTAATACCTGTGCGTGTAGGACTCAGCTACTTACTGTATAATCGGGGAGCTATATCTGATGGTTTGATCATATGAGGAAAGCAGAATTCCAGTTCAGTTACAATCCCCTTGAGTTGCAGTTGCTTGATTTTCCATATGCAATCAAAGACTCGAATCAAAGAATGCAAGTGTTCTGTGGGCCTTCAGGTTATCTGCCTGAACTGAACTTTGAAAAAGAATTGCAATCTGTAGGTGTGCTACCTATAGCTGAACTCAACTGAATCACTTTAAAAGTGTACCTGAGACTTGTCCTGTGCAAGCAGATGTCAAGTATTGCATACTAACTAACGCTACCATTAATCCTTGCATTTGATATATTGCTTGCATTTGATATGGTGCTTTATCATCTAAATCAGACATCTCAAAGTGCTTCACAAGATTTCGCTATGAACGGTAGTGTCTATATTTTGGAGATGGATGCAACACCCAATATCCCACAAAAAGCCACTAAGTGAACGACCAATTTTTTCTAGAAGAAAATTGGCCAGAATACTAGGAGAAAGTCCCCTCTCTTTTCAAAGGGGGAACTCTGGTATAAATCACAATGGACTTGACTCCCCAATGGTCCATTGGAAGCTGAAACTTTCCTTCATATAAAACCAAATTTGGCTAAACTCACAAGCACTTGAATTTTCATATGTGTGAAAACTTCAATCACATGATTGATTATGTGCCCTCCTCTGTTTAAGAGTGGATTGCAATTTTCATTAGTTTTGAAGTGCTCTAAGGCTAGACTCAAAAAAGGAACCCACTACTTTAATCAAAGGCAGGCTTCAGTTTGGTGACTTGAATTACCAGTCATTTTTCATCTAATATTACACAGCTTTTCCAACCTGGCTTGTGCTCAAGAAATCCATCTATTTGTGTGTATAGGATCAAGAGACTTAGTCAAGGAATTCAGTGAAAGTCTGAAATTGTGCAATTTGTATAAATCAGTTCCAGCACATTTTCCATTCTGCTGTGTGTTTTAAATAACTGTTAATGTGACTGCGCAAAAAAAATTCCATCTGTTCTATATTGTTGAGGAAAACATACTACTTTGAAATGCAGTTATGCTAATCCCTCCTTGTGAGATGTTTTCTGCTGATGCAACCAATCTGATTTGACCAGTTCTAAAGCTGCAATGGATCTACCAAGGAGAAACATGTACTGCATTTGTTTGCTCTTCAGTTCTCTCCTATTGATTTTAAAAAAATAATCATCTTGTTTTACCACCGTATCAAAACTGTATTGAGCATCTATCTATCTATCTATCTATCTATCTATCTATCTATCTATCTATCTATCTATCTATCTATCTATCTATCTATCTATCTATCTATCTATCTATCTATCTATCTATCTATCTATCTATCTATCTATCTATCTATCTATCTATCTATCTATCTATATCTAATGTTATTGAGTTGGCAAAGTTCTGTTTCCATTACATTCTGTCTCACTTTAACTACGAGAGGAAATTGGAAATGCAATTAGGTCTGCTGACCAAGCTTGATGCTTTAAATGGCTCAACATTCATCCACTGGACATCGTTCCATTTGTTGGAATAGTCAAGGTCTTGGCAGTAGAGCATAGAGACAAAGAGGATTTACAGTGACGCAGCAAAAGATTATTTTTGTAACACATTTTTCATGCACAAGCACACATACACACACATCCACAAACATATACACACAAAAACATGTAAAATTACCTTCCACTGGATATTTAATCAGAAACACCACCTATGTGTAAAGTGTGGATCCCTGTATCTGCTGCATTTCTCAACCAAAGCAGGCTATTTTACTTATCTTGTTTTAATATGCAGTATTTCAAGTTAGGTGTGAATGTTTTAAAAAAAAGGAACAGGCACACTTGCATTTGGCAGCTGTTATGGCTTGTTGTTCTCCCTGCCATCACAGACGGCAGACACCTGTAGTTGGAACCTCAGAACAAATGTAGTTTGTGACTTCCTGTTTTAAGCTTACAGCACCAATGTTTGGTACTTTCATAGACAAGTGGAGATTAATGTGCAATGCCTAGCATATGTTTGTAAATTTACTTCCTGAGCATCAATATGACAGCCCTTCTTAATTTCTGTTCTGGCTCTGTTACCCCTCCCCATCGTCCACTTGGAAAACCCTGGCCTGCTACATGTATACCCTGCTGTCCCCTGCACCCCAACGTTGGCGGCCCAACATTCAGCCACTAAGAGCCCGCTCTCTGAATCTCTTTTGTCTCGCTCTACCTTTTTGACAATTCTTATGGTCACCTCCCTCATAGCCCCCTATTCAATGCTTCTGTAAAGTTGTCCAACATATTACTCAGTGTGAAAGGCCCAAAAAATGCAAGTTGATGTTGATGATTATTTAAGAAGATTAGCCTTATGTGGGTGGGTGGCTGCAGTGCACTGTTTTGTTTCTCCTCTGTGACACCTGTCTTGTCACTTACGTGCCATTCTTTCAGCAGATGAAGGGTGTGAGGAAGATGAAGACGCAGAGAAGCTGCAGAATGGAAAGGAACGTGGTAAGCAAGCTCAGTAAAGTGGAGCCCAACATAGAGCCAGACCTGGTTTAAAACTTTTCTCTGAATGGTTTTGTTTGTTTATATTTGTGTCACATGCAATTCCGATTTACTCAGTGAATGAAACTAGTTGCCTGAGAACAAGCAGGAACTTGTGACCAGTATCAAATACAACAGTTTAGAATGATCCCACAATCGAAAACTGGGTTAAATAGCTGATTGCTACATGTGTTTATTTTTAAGATTTATGGCTGGAATTTTGTTCCATCACCTTCTAGTATATAAAAGAATCTGAATTATTCCCAGATCTTTTAATGATTTACACCATCCACCAGCGCTTCCCCACGTAGCATGTATTACCTCCTACCATTATTAAGATAACATTAAACTGCACCAGCCATCCTTCCACCCATTCACTTAATCCGTTTATGCCCTTGTATGGTTTTCTGCTCCTGAACACAAAAATTGGCATTTGAGTGCAGTTAAAAGTTGGGATACTGACTTAACTTGATCAGTATTCCTGAACTTGAAGCAGCTATAACGCGCAAGCTCAAGGATAGGATAAAAACAATTGTAAGCCTCTAAAACAGAAGTCAAACAATTTTGGAAAGAAACTTCAGGCCAAACTACTGTTTCAAGGTTGCAGAGGGGGTTTTGTGTTCCGTGACCAGTCTTTGGAAATGGGTGAAAAATGGATGTTTTGCCACAGATTCAACGGAGTAATTGCTGGATCAAAATCTGTTACAGACATCACATCTTTCACTCCAGGCTTACTAACGTGGTAACAGGTTCAGGCAGAAGGTTGACAGTGCAACAAGTCTGACCCAGATTCCTTCCATGTACCTATCCCTAAATCTGTTAACTGTGAATCCCTTTCAGTTGACAGGAACTAACTTGTCTAGTTCTTTTTTGAAACTCTTTGGTGTTTTTTTTTTAGCTTCAACACCTGTGCTGCTAATTTGTTCCACATGCCCATCAGTTTTACTTTTATATAAAAAGAAGTCTTTTACATCCGTTTCCTTTTCCCCCCTTCGTTATTATTTTGAAAATATTGGTCATATTTTGGGCCTAATCTTCCTAATCTTTGGAGAATTATCTTTGTTTTCTGGTTAAAATATATATTGAGAAGATCAAATGCAAAGATACAAAAAGATTGGCCCAAATGCAAGCCACCATATCCCACCAATAGGTGGCAGCTCAGATTGAAACACTGCACAATTGCACCTAGAAGGCCAAGGATTAGCAATGTGACCTGGATTAATCTCTGATCCTCCTGGGTATCATGGAAAGACATTTGTATGACCTTATCCCAGTTTAATTCTTTAAAAATATAATTGTTGGAAACATTTTGCTATATCTGACCAATGGGAAGACCGAGCCAAGCTTTCAATCCAAATTCATCTCTTTTCAGGAATGAAAATGTATTTTAGTTCTTAAACACTTTCTGATCAGCTTTAGCTTTCAGTGGATCAAGGCTGCGAGCTGAAAATGAAGTGCATGACATTTGTGATAATTATCATCAGTGATAATTATCACAGCAAACTTTAAAAAAAATTGGTCAACAGCAGTCCAGGGTTAACAATGGATTTGGCATTAAAATTTCCTCCCCTCTAGACTAGTAATTATTGACTGCTTTTTACTGCATTTTTTGTTTAATGTGATAATTATCACTAGTGATATCACATTCTAATTTATAATAATACAACAGCTACAACAACAATGAATTATATTTGTATAGCGGCTTTCACGTCGGGAGAACATCCCAAGGCGCTGGGCAAACAGGGATTTAGACCTGAGCAGGGTCTTGGGATTGCTAGGGAGGGTAGAAGTAGAAGGGTGACCAGAGCTGTGGTTGAAGTGAAGTCGTGAGACGTGCCTTGAAGGAGACAAGGGAGGGAGCAAGTTGAAGGAACTGTGGGATGGTGTTTCAGAGGATGGGGGCAGAGAAGATGAAGGCCCGACCACCAATGATGGGGCGGGCTGGGCAGGGGACGTGGAGCAGGCCAGAGGCTACTGAGCGGAGAGAGCGGACATTATAATAATAGTCCTTGCATTTGATATGGCGCCTTTCATGGAGGAAGAACATGTCAAAGAACTTCATAATATTTACTATAAAGTGTAATGGCGGTATTTTATAGGCGAATGCGACAGCCAGTTTGCGTGCAGCAAATGTCTCATAAATAGCCATGAAGTGAATGATCAATTTTATCTGGGGAATTGTTGGACAGGACAAAGGGGGATATTGCCTTCTTTTTTGCAAACAGTGCCAATGGATCTTTGACGTTCATTTGAACAGGCAGTTGGGACCTCGGTTTAGCATTTAATCTGAAAGTCAACACCTCCAACAATACAGCGCTCTCCCAACACTGCTATGTAAGTTCAAAGTTCTGACATGGAGCTTGAGCCACAAACTTCTGAACCAGGACTTGGAATCACATCATTTAAGATGACATTCCAATGCAACGCTGGGGTTATGTTGGATTGTTGGAGGTACCGTCCTTTGGATGAAATGTTAAACCGAAGTCCCGTCTGTCTGCCAGGTGAATGTTAAAGATCCCATGGCATGATGCGGAAAGATAAGGGAGTTTCTCCCAGTGTCCTGGCCAATAATCACCCCAAATAAAATTGGTCATTCACTTCATGGTTGTTTGTGGGGTATTGCTGTGCACAAACTGGCTGTGTGTTTCACCACAAGATACGTAGTCAAGAAAAGAAACACTTTATAATATATCCTGTGAAGCGCTTTGAAATGTCTCGATGGCATGGTAAGGCGCTATATCAAATGCAAGGATTATTATTATTATTATTCTTGTTCAAAACAGTAAGGTGTACAAATGGTTGATTGTAGAAGGTTAAGCTGAGTAGTATTAAACCTATTAAACATGATAGATCCAGCCAAGTAATTTAATATATCGATGCATTTACTTATGTTTGAGCACCTTTATCTGTGAAGACTATTTTCATCTGCCAAAATGTTCTATGATGAGCGATCTACGATAAGAGACTGTTAAAACACGGTTAACATGTAACTTGACATGATTTGGGAATATAAAAAACCCACAATAAGGATCGGAGATTTGAAAGTAACCAAGTTCAGAACTCTCAACTTTACAGAAATGTAGTTGAAATAGAGAATTTAAAAGACTATTGGTAGTTAGTTTTATAAAAATACCTTTCTCTTGTTGCAGGTTAAAAAGGAAGATGGAAGGTGTAAAATAATTCAAGTAAGTAGGCAAGTTTGTCCATGGCTACCATTCTTTGTTGCTAATGATCCCGAAAACTCTTGGAGGGGCTATACATTTTTCTTATATAGTTTATATCTTACCTGTATACAATATATACCTTATATTAGATAACGGAGAACTAAAATGTAATGTTCACAAATCCTGTGTGTTGTATTATTTGCAACTCCAGTTTATCAATTGCACGATTTGCAAAATGGTGTGAATTGTGAATCTCAGATAGAAAAAANGTCTGAAAAGGGCCGGTGAGTGAACTGACAATGTTTTGTACGCTGGCTTTTTTCACAGACTTTGCCGGGTTAGGATTCACTATTCACAGTTCTCACTGGAAATGTTCCAGTCTGATATTCCCAAACAATTAACACTGAATTAACTCCTGCTTAACGGCCTCCCTAACTCCTCCCTCCATAGGCAGCAAATCATTCATAACTCTGCAGCTCGTGTCCTCCCCCGCATCAGGCTCCCCGACTCTATCACCCCCATTCTCGCCTGATTCCACTGGCTTCCCATCACACAGAGGATACAGTTCAAGATCCTGGTCCTCACCTTCAAAGCCCTCCATGGCCTTGCTCACCCCTGCCTCTGCAACCTTCTAACCCCCATCCAACCTGCCCGCTCCCTCCGCTCAGCGGGCTCCGGCCTGCTTCATGTCCCCTGCCTCACCCGCCCCACCATTTGCGGGCTGGTCTTCTGCCACTCTGCCCACACCCTCTGGAACTCCATCCCATAGTCCCTCCGCCTCACCCCTTCCCTTGCATCTTTCAAGACCTGCCTCAAGACCCCCCTCTTCGTCCGTGCCTTCGATCACCCTCCTTCCCCCCACTGCCCTCCACCCTCCCCGATCCCGACCCCCTGCTCGGGTCTGAAACACTGACTGTCCAGCGCCTTGGGAATTCCTCCTGACATGAAAGGTGCTATACAAATGTAATTTTGTTGTTGTTGAAACCAGTTTTCAAATACTGCAGTTTCGATCCCTTCATCTACGTTTGTTGATTTATGATGCTTATTAACCCAATTTGTGCACTGACCATGCACAGACCGTAAAAAGTTATCAAACAACAGATGTTGAATTATATGTTATTTCTGCTTCCAAATCCAAAGAGCCAGGGCTTAGATGTGCTCCCAGTAATTTTCACTGCTTGGTTTCATGCTGGCTTTCATTTCTTTATCCTCTGGATCTCCAAGTCTAACTTCTGGCCCTCAAATTACTACTCTGCATTTGTCAGAACCTTGGCACATCCTCCCAACGTGAAAGGCACTATACAAATGTAATTTGTTGTTGTTGTAAGAAAACATGGACACCCGTATTATATGGTGTGTCTGATTTTTCAGCTTAGGTTTTGATGAACTCACACTGATTGTCTCTGACACTTATGTTTGATTGAATGACAATCTATACTGGCATTTTCCTCGTCTCTCAGGCCAGACTATTTAATCTCACTAAATATAACGTCACCACAAAATTAACTCATTGATAAATGCTTTTTCTTCTTGCTTTGTCCTTCCCTCTACTGTCATATCTTACAGGCACAGTGACTATATAAAGCAACCAATCATACTTGACCTATGCTCATCCATTCGACCCACACTTCTTTCAGCTGTTGAAGACACCATCATGTGAATGTAAAACGAAAACAAACAATCTTTTGCTGAAGAAAACTTTCCGGCTCGGCTCATTGAAGGGCTTTGGCACAGGGATACATTCGCAATCGTCCTCTAGATATGTGCATGAGTTATTTTCATCTTCACCAACTTCGTACCGTTTTCTATCATTAAAAAGTCTGTTGTAAGAATCTTGAAATTGTTTTTCGTTATATACAAAGCCAAATACATTTCCCATTCAATGTTTGGCAATTGAAGTGGATTAACTACTGAATCAGTGGTATTTGTTTTGTGTGACTTGCTGCTATCTATTTCATATTTGGCAATTTATATTTTATTACATTTCCTTTTAACCCCTGGTACTGATGATGAGGAGACTATTTTTAATTAAAATTGATAAGGACAAACATTAATGGATTTGTTTGAGGCTTTCTGGATATCTAATCCAAACAAACATACAAATTGCAAGTTGGCAACATTAAAATTCCAAATAATTTGCTCCTGATATTTGAAAAACTGTGTTCAAATCATCTCCGTGACATCAAATCCTGGACGAGCCTTAACTTCCTTCAGTTGAACATCAATAAAACCAAAGCCATCCTGTTTGGCTGTCTCTCACCAGTACCTCCTTCTGTCTCGTTCAAGCCATCAACCTCTCTGGTTGCTCACTCTGAGACCACCTGGAGTTTTGCCTCACCCTTAGCTCTCTTACAAGCCCTGTATCAAGTCCTTGATCATGAATACCTTCCTCCATCTCCATTTATCTTTGTTTTGTTAAACCCTGCTAAAACGTGTCTCTTTGACCGTGCCTTCTGTCAACACCTTCATAAATTCTTTTTATCTTCTTGCTTGGTGATCCACACTTTGGGAAGTTATTCTGTATCGAAAATATTATTTGAGGGTAGACTGTTTTCCCTTTCACTAGTTTCTCAAATGAGTGTTTGCTGGTAGTCAGCCCATTGCACAAGGATCTATCATTCACAATTGTCAGTCTTTGGGGCTGAACGTTGAGAATATATTACAGAGATTAATGGAATAATGAAGTATGGGAGAGGGGAGACTCCTGTGGAGTATAAACTAGTTCAGCTAAATGGCCTGTTTCCATTCTGCAATGTTCTGTGTAATTCTATGTAAAATATCAGGACCAGTATCTGAAAAGAAAATCACTGCTTGACAAAGTTTTTTGTTGGTTTGGACCCACATAAATTAATTATTCATTCACTAAAAGTCATTGTTTGGACCTTCACCAAATGAAACAAATAATTAAAATATGCCTTTGGTGAAGAGAAAGAGCTGGTCAATGAATGAATAGAGAACAACATTGGGCAATCACACAGTATGGAAGAGTATGAAACAGTATAGTTAAAAACATAAAATATGGACAATAGAACAACAACAAATAGAAAAGGCTGTTTGGGACATCAAGGCCGCACCTTACAACCAATTTATCCACCAATGAAACGTTCTGCAAAGTTTCTCATTGCCCCCAAGAGTAAATCAAGCAAAATCCAAAATATCGATGTAACCTAACACCCATGTTATTCATCCTTGAACAGTTTAGTGTTTTGATGACATTTCAGTTGTATTAGCAATTCAAGAATCACTGTATCTCACACAACATTCAATCATCTATATCTGTGTTTATCCTTATAGCCTTGAATCTCATCTCTTTTCCAAAGGTGCCAACTGAAAGAAATTTGTCTGGGAGTATATTCTGCATATTTGCCAGTCTGGGGGAGGGAAATTACTTCTGGTCTGAAATCTTATGTGAGGTTCGTTCATTTTAATCGTTTGGTTATGTTTCAACTGTCCAACTGCCTGTTTGTGTTTACGGTTTATTTGACAGCTGGAAAGGAGCTTGTCTCCAGGCTAGTTGGCAAGTGGAATGTTCCAGTCAACATTTAACTCTGGCATGGATAGTTTTCAAAGGAAAGGGTTTAGGAGAAAAGTCAGAGGATTTCACCTCCCACATTGCTGCCGAGCTGTATTCTGTAACGGATTAACTTGACCGAACCAGAAGTGCAACGCTCAATTGGGAGGTTTTGATTAGAAACATTTAATCGGTTTGCTGGAGGCTTTAAATATTGTCATTCTGACTGGAGATTTTAGATCCAAAACATATGATCCAATTGAATCCCAAAGGTTTGTTTTCCCCACTGTCAGGTGAGTCTCCTGTGGTGGATGCAGGTACTTTGATTGCTCCCTGGATATGGTGTAGCAAATCATCCAGCTTTCACTTTGATGATCACTTGAAGGAAAGGGATGTTTAAAACAAAATGGCATTCCAAGGACTGAAGGTCATGAAGCATGATTGTTCTGTAGCTGTTTTCTGAAAACCCCATGGTGTGTTGTTGCAAGAGTTCCTATCACTGTCAGATGCTTTCTTGTATACCGTGTTTTTAAGACATTCCTCTCAGAGGAGGTTTCAAAAGAAGAAAAAAAACAATTAGGCCCTGCTGTAGTTCGTCCAAGGTTGTTAATAGAAAATGAATGATTTTAGAGAGGTGGAAAAACTTAAATTCACTAGCAGACCAGTAACATAGAATGTGTAATCGCATATCCACAATTCAGATTGGAGTCCAGCTACATTGTATATTATGATGCTCCAAATTAATTTGTATAGCGTCTTGAAATGTTTTACAAATCTGAATTATGCCTGACTGGTTGGGTAGCTTTGTGAATTCCATGCTTATCATCTCTGTCAAAGGTGTCATAATGTTATATTATATATTGTAATGTGCAAAATCCATAATAATCAAATTGGTTTCCTTCCCCCCTCCCATTTGTGAACCATATAATGCTAATGAAACAAAAGAAATCGGATTGACGCCCCATATTAATGTCTTTACTTTAGGAAAAAAACGGAATAAAGTGGGTTCTGTTTTCAGGAGGGAAACCATTTTGCAATATACTAATAATTATATGTTGCGATTCTATTATCAATATGCCACCAAAAAGATCATGTTGTTTTAATACCAAACTCCAGACTTTCGTTAAAAGCATAAACAAAGCTGCTGCTGCTGGACTACGTATTAGAAAGCTCAACGCTGCATTGGTATTGCTGAAAGATAGATTGGCATTGATGCTAGACATCAATAAAAAGAGGGGTAATACATGCAGGTTCAATTATAAGTCGACCACAGAACAGACTTTGGCTCAAACTCCTAAACACTGTCGCTCCACTTTACAGTATATCATGTGAAGTACTTTGAGATGTCCTTCCGACGTGAATGGCGTTATACCAAATGTTAGGATTATTATGATGTTGCCTTATAATAAAGTTCAAGGAATACTCGAGGAAAGGGCCCTCAGTGTTTCCATTGTGGGTGACTGCTGCTGTATAAGCAAAAATCAAACCTAGAAACATCATGGTTTGTTACCAAACCTTGGGTACCAATAATCTTTCGCTCACTGGTGGTGGGAGCCCAGCCTTGGAAATTCAGCCTTGAGCCTATGTCACTACCTTACGGTAAGTTTGTGGGAAAAATGACGTGTAGAAATGTGCCTAATACTCAAGGATAGGTCAGTTATAGGACTTATCCTGGAGTATTCCTGTAGTGGATTTGTACTAGTGGGTAACAGTCAATGACAGTTTGTAATGTTTTTCTTTCCTCGCTTTTTTTTCAAAAAAAATTATTAAAGGAATTTCTATGATTTCAATTAAAACCAAAATAGCTACCAAGGCATTTATACCATTGTTGTACAGTTTGAACTGCAAAAGTATCGCTGTGTTTAGGTTTAGAAAATATTTGTTTGACAATACTGTTTCAAGAACTGCAATGCTGGATTGCAGCAGCCCTGTTCAAGACAGCAATATTCATATGCCTTGCTGATTCAGTGCAACCAAGTGTGCGAGTATCTTGCTAAGTTAAAAGCCTTAATGATACTATTGAGTTTGCGGGGTTTTTTAAGTGCCAGATATCTGAGTCAGTCTTAAACACCAGCCGACATCAGATGTATTGTTTCTGTTGCCTACATTCATCTTTTTCCACCTTTTTTTTCTATTAACTGATTCTAAGCCTCCAGGTGGAAGCTATGCAGATTTATATTCATTGGCATCATTTGGTATTTTCTGAATATTATAAAGGATGTTATTCATCTCTTCAATAGGAATGAACTATGCTCTGAAAGTAAGGCAATGTGCAGAGGCTTAAGGCCGGGTAGCACTGTATTAATATACAGCAGTCCATTCAATATGCCTTGGGAGTAAAGATTGAGTCCTTTGTTCATCAACCAAGTCCTGATACTGCCTGAAGCATTGGCATTGAACATAATCTAGGCATCCTATATTGTTTATTGCATAGCAGTTAAAACTATGTGAGTTGATGTTTAAATCCACAATGCAGCACTTTGTGAATGTTGGGATATTTGGCAGTGAATTACAAGAAGAATTTTCCCATTTCAAAGGATAAATATGCTGTAAATTGCACTGTATGATATTCATTTGCACTGGAAAATCACAGCCGTCCAAGTGTTCCAACTGTGTAGGAATCCAAGACATTTGTGAATGGCAAAATACCATCCTGTGAAAAATTCCCTTTCTGGTTAAGTGTAGATCCTCTTGCGATGTCCAATAGCAATGAGAAAATCCTATTCTAAACATGGATCTTCCAAGTCTCTACATTTAGTGGCAGGATTAAATTCATCCGCATTAGTGCTTTAAATCAATGCGACTCCTATTTTTCATAAAGTTAAATACCAATTCTAGCCGCAAAAATTCTATTGCTGCATAAACAATTAAATAACACATTATTAGAGATCTTTGTTTGATTCACAGAATTAATTTAGGATGTGAAATCAAAATATTTTCAACATTTATGGATTTAGGACAGGTTGAAGCAATTTAAGATGTTTCAGTATGATAAGATGCTATATCAAAAGCAAAGATTACTGTTATCTTACAAATTACTGAATTACCCTAATCCATTCATTGGCTTCCATGAGGTTAAAGAGATACAGGTCAATGATGGCTCAGACCTGAGCGCCAGTCATGTATTGGTCTTTGAAAGCAAGGAGAACTGCGGCTATTTCTGTGGTTAAAAGGCCTTATAAATGGAAAACAGATATGAGAATGTGGAATTCTTTGGTTGGTTTATGTTGTGGTACATTTTGTGAATGTTACAATTGATCAGAAATTGATCAAATTTGTCTTTGGTAAGTCTTGGCCAGTTGTTTTTGAAATGTACTTTGA